AGAGCCTAGTCCTTCCTTTATTAAATTGGCATCATTACCCTTGTTGCCTGACTTCGAATGCTCGCTCAGATGAGCCGGAGATTTGCGAGGTCGTATCTGCATGATCACACGGGAGAACTGGGGCAATTATGTGGATAATTCAAGCAAGAGCCTGGCTTTGCTTAAGTTCCATAATCACCTGAAAAGCCTGTTTTTCAGAGTATCTCCAACGGCACATTCAGACAAAAACAATTTTGTTTTCTGGATGACTGCCTCAGTCTTTTGGCCCTGTGACTTTAGCCCCAGTGGAAAAGTGATATTCATCATGCTCTGGTCCTGAGCCTGCGGAATCAATAAACAAGGTGTCGCGATCGGGACCAGTAACTGGTCCAACTGTGCACAGCAGAAAAAAAAAAGGGGGGGGGGGACCTCCAGAGCTGTCCACTCTCCTTTAGCACAGCCCCTCTACCCTGCTCCCCGCTCTGTGGACAGAATTCAGGCAAGGCCTAGCAAGCCAGCCTGGGGCCGGGCCCTGCTTTTCTGGAGTAATGGTCATCACTGCAGAGATTAAGTCTTCCTTGGGCCTCATTTAAATAGGACAGGAACCTCCTCCGCACACATCAAACTAATGAAAAGCTTGAGTCAGTGTTGGCGCGAGGCGATCGGCTACTTTGTGCACACAAATAGCTTGGTGGCTATTATTTGTGCTGTTAGCATGGTCAGGACAGGTGGGTGATATGATTTGGAGGATACAAGGACGTACCCATGCACCAGGGTGCCTGGAAATCTACAGTTAGAGACGTATTTCTTTAGCTCTTCCAGTGTTTTCTACGGTTAAGAGCTTCCTACTAGGGGTGCTTGGCTGGCTCAGCTGGTTAAGCATCTGACTTCAGCTCAGGTCATGATCTCACGGTTCTTGAGTCCAAGCCCCGCATCAGGCTCACCACTGTCAGCGAAACATCCGCCTCGGGTCCTCTGCCCCCCCCTTCTCCCTGCCCCTCCCCCACTCATGCACACATGTGCTCGCTGTCTCTCTGTCTCAAAAATAAACATGAAAACAATTTTTTAGGGCCACCTGGCTGGCTCAGTCCAACTTGGGCTCAGGTCATGATCTCACGATTTGTGTGGTTTGAGCCCCACCTCGGGCTCTGTGCTGACTTCTCCAAGCCTGGAGCCTGCTTCGGACTCTGTGTCTCCCTCTCTCTCTGCTCCTCCCCTGTTCACATTCTCTCTCTCTCTCTCTCTCTCTCTCTCGCTCAAAAATAAAAATAAACAGTAAAAAAATTTTTTTTAAATTTTTAACAAGAGCTTCCTTCTAAAATATTATCTCTAAGAGGAGGGATGTTTCCTTAGGACCGCTAGTGCAAATAACAACAGCAAATGATTATTCAGTGTTCAGACTATGCTGTTTCATCTTCACAGTCTCCCTGTGAGGGAGGTGCTGTTGTCATTCCGCATTTTACAGATGTGGAGTCCAAGGCGCAGAGAGGTCCAGTAGTTTGTCCCAAACCACACAGCGAGTAAGTGGAGGAGCCAGGATTGAAACTGGGCAGCCCACTGGAAGTCTACGGCATAACTGCTCCTCTTTTCTGCATCTTGGGGACAAAATTGGGTTCCCCTTCCGTGGTGGCAACTCAGCAGGCACAGTGGATGCAGCTGAGCTGGTCTGGAGAGGGTGGAGAAAGTACGGACGGAACAGAATCCAGGACGGAGAGTAAGGGGCCAGGGGCCGCAGCCGCCAATGTCAAGGTCCTCCCCAGACTGCTGGGGCTCCCTGGAGGAAGACAGCCCTTCTGGTCCAGGGTTGCCTTGGGTTGAGGAGTCTTGCTTTGCCCCAGGGCCATGCAGTTGAGTGGACACACAATAGCAAGAGGGAGACAGCTACAGATGTGAGGCAGGACATGCTCAGCGGAGTCAAACTCCTTGTGACGGAGTTCTTGCTCCACTGCTTTTTAAAAGAGTGATCCCTGGGCATGCAGCTTTCCTAAGTCCAAGTGGAAGGAAGAGACGTCAGATACGGAGAGAAGTAGTTGCCAAAGACGGACAGCCATGGCTGGCATAAATGGAGACAACTCTCTTTTCGCGAGCACAGCTTTCTCTACAATCCTGAGGCTGAAGTCATCCGCCAGTAGTGAGGAGAGCGTCTTGTAAAAGCTGAAAAACATTAATTAGACAGGATACGGTACATTTACCTCTGCTGTTACAGCTTACCAGTTGTTTGTCCTGCCCATCTCATTTAGACAAAGAGATCGAAACTAGCTCCGTGGTGAGCTAACTTTTCAAGGCCAAAGTGTTTATAGAAAGATTGGTCCAAAAGCCACGCAGAGAATCTGTGACTCTCGGACACTGAGGGCTAAGAGGGTCTTTTCAGTTAGAGAAATTAAGCTAGAGAAGTGGTATGTGGCCAGGATCCGAGCCAATGTTGGTTGGGAGAACTTTGGGGGAGATTCTAATTGATCAGGTTGGAAGTTTCATTTCAGAGGTGGTCAAAGTCCAGTATTTTCAAAGACCAGCAAGCTAAATGTAGATCAGTGGCCAGGACTGTTGGTGAAGGATGTAACCCATCATTACATGTGGTCCCAGTGTCCCCGGAAACCCTCCTACCTAACAGAAGTCTCAGTGTATAAGCCTTGCTTCTCCAGCATATCACACAGCACAGGTATGAGAGAAGACAAAATTCCCAATAGTCAAAAAATAGTATTTCTTTGGGGAAAGGAAACAGATTGTATCAGGGCAAAAATCACACCTGACTAATTTCCTAGAGTGTGACCTAAAAGTGAATAGCTTTGTGGATACAATTCGTATAGACCTTCAACACAACTTTGTCTTGCCAATGGTTACTATGGAATACTGACTTTCTGTGAAATTGGTGAGGATGTAAATTACAGTCGTGAAGAAGGGATTGGTTTCGGGGTGACAAACACCAGGAATCGGGCCCCCTGGAAATGGACGACATGGTGGCCCAGAGGAGGAGATCCCCAGGCTTGCTAACAACACTAAATCCTTTTGTGCCTAAATCATCAAAGCGATAGAGAGAGATTTCAGGAATGACGGAGAGTAAGGGGCCAGGGGCCCATAAGTAACATACAAGCACCGATTAGTCCCTCAATAACAATTTGAACATTCATAATTATTTAGCGAGCGCCTGTCTCCGACCCCTGCTCCCCATGCCTTGTCACCTGCAATCTGAACCCTTGCAAGAGTCCTACAAGACAGATATTTCTATTTATAGAATGAGAAAGGAAAGCTTGGAGACAGCTCCAGGGTCTTTGTATTCTGACAGGGTATTAAATTGCTAGGGCTCCATACAAAATACTATAGACCGGCTGGCTTAAAACTTCAGAAATTTATTGCACACAGTTCTGGAGGCTAGAAGTCCAAGATCAAGGTGCCCGCAGGGCTGGTTTCCTCGGAGACCTCTCTCCTTGGCTTGGAGACAGACGGCCATCTTCTCGCTGTGTCCCCACGTGGTCTCCCTTGGTGCACGTGCACCCTTGGTGTCTCTTGGGTGTGTCCAACTTTCCTCTTCTTACAAGGAAACCAGTCAGATAGGATCAGGGCCCACCCGAAAGGCCCCATTTTAGCTTTATCACCTCTTTAAAGGCCCCATCTCCAAATACATCCTGAGATACTGGGGGTTGGGGTTCTAATGCACGAATTCGGGAGGGACACAATGTAGCCCAAAGCAAACAGCAACTAGGGTGAACTATGGGGAACCATGGGATTGGAGAGTGGAAGATATATTTTCATTAATGGCAGACCGCGGAGGGCGGCGTGGGGGGGGGGGTGGTCAGAGGGTGAGGGATAGCTCCCCAAAATAAGCTGTGAGGAGAGAGAGCACCTCTCCTCCCCTCCTTCCTACACGCCCTCCCTTCCATCTCACGTGGAGCCTGGAGTCTCTTCCACAGGTCAAAAACACCACGTTGCTGTATTCATTTTCTTCACCCTAGGGTCTAAGAGACAGAGTTGTAATAAGAGACCCGGCCACCCCCACCCCACCGCAGGGCCAAATCAGAGCGCTGGACAGCTGCTCCAAACACAACATCATTCCATAGCACATAGTTGAGGTGGGGTGTGTGGAACGGGGCTAAAGTTACTTGAATTCTTTTCGAGGCTGACATCTTTGCAACCCGAGGCACAAAAAGCCCTCTCTCTGCATTCAATTTGTAGCAAAGTAAACAATTTGTAGCAAGTAAACAGGGTGCTCATTGTGTTGGTGTTCTGCGGCCTGAGCTCCAAAGAGGCCTTTTGTTTTAAAGGATATTTTAAAATTCTTCATTAGCTGTAAAAAGTTATTTTAAAAACCTTTTCCCAGACACCCCCATACCTCTCCTAAAAAAAAAAAAAAAAATCAAAAAACAAAAAACAACCCACCTACATTTATGAATAACAGGGAATGGTCCTCTGTGGCCCTGACTTCTAGTCCGGTCAAGTCCACGGGGTTTGTGGGGCGCTTTGAGGTGCAGGCGGGCTGTGAGGGAAGAGGAGGAAGCGTGATGACAGGGATGGCGTCCGCGGGAACAGTCGAGGTCCTGCCGTGTCCGATATTGCTTGGGAATGATTTGGAGGAGGACGCAGGGTGGTGGTGGCTTTGCACAAACCCAGGGGGCGTCATTCGCCCTGGCAAAGCTGAGTCATTTGTCTCAGCTGCAGGGTGACTGGAACCCCTGCAGGGGAGTAAAATCGAGGTACACCGGTGCCCAGCCCGAGTACTATCACACCGTCAGTATGATCCCAAGTGCCCCCATGGGTACCGTGAGAGTGACCCCTTGTGGCCAGTCCCCCAGGCCCGGTGGACCCCATGGTCAGCCTTTCCGGATGCGGCGACAGGCTGCTCCACAGGGGCGCTGCAGCACTCCTATCGGGTCCCCCCATCTCCATAAACAGGCCTCACTACCTCACAAGAAGCTTCCGCCGGCCCACGGCCCGTGGGCCGGTCCAGATCGAAGGGAGATCCAAGTCACCTAAGTCATGTCCCTCCTTGCCCAGGGGCCATGCTAATCTTCCCTGTGCTTTTCCAATTTCAGTATATGTGTCGCCAAAGGGAGCAGTCGTGTCCCTCCTTATGGAGAGAAGGGAACCGAGACCGAGAGAGAGAGAGAGAGAGAGAGGCCAGTGTCCAAGGCCCCACAGGAAGCGAAGGGAAGAGCTGGGTGAGTGTCCCTCCCCCCTCCCTCTGCCAAAGCCTCCTCACTGTGACCCCTGCCTTCTCTGCTGTCAGCTAATTCCTCAGTTTCCACGGTGAGAACAGGGACGCTCTGTCCGAAGGCATTCGCTCCCATTACAATATAAATACGTTAATACCCTGTTTCAGACCCATTCTTAGGAGCAGATTTGGCAGGTGAGAAGGTGAGACCCTAAGCTGTTCTGGGTGGTGTGCCCCTCCCCCCCCCCCCCCCCCCCCCCAGGAAGACAGGCAAGAAGCAGGGGGAGGGCAGAGAGGGGCCCAAGACAAGTTTGCACACTACACAATATTGCCTCCATCTGGCCTCGCTTGGATGGTCTGAATGATTTTGATATTATCCAGAAGACTGAGGATGCTGACCAAAGACTTCTCCAGATGCTCAGAAGTTGTACTTCCAAGCATAATTCTTGGCTCTCCGAGAACCACAAGTAATTGATGGCACCCCCCGCCTTTTCCACATCCTATTCTTTCCAGCTCCCGAACAGATAGATTTTCTTGTTTGTAGACTCATTCATTCCAGGCTTTGCGGTAATCTCAGAGTTGACAAACGCAAAGGCAGTGTGGTCGCATTCATCTGCGGTCACCTGGTCCTCATTAGGGCCATCGGAGGAGGCCAGGGACTGGTTTTGTGATTAGCGATTCCTCCTCCACGCGGGCCTGAGAGCTCTCAGCAGCCTTTTGTTGTTTGCATGGAGGCCTTGGAGAGCTCTGCCAGGCTCGGCTCAACATTTTCCACATGACTGATGGCATTCAAAGCTTTGCAATCCCAACAGGCAAATTTCTCGACTGGCTTTGTTTCTCGTTGGTTCAGGTTGGAATAAGAAGGCTCTTTCTGCCAGGAATGTCAGTGTGTGGTTGAGAAGTTGGCATTTTTCTATAAGGAGGCAGGGAAGCCAGTTGGTAAGTGCCTGGGTGCCCGGGTGCCCGGGTGCCTCGTGCCAACAGTCAGAAAGGTTATTTCAGTATTTCTCGTTCTTAGTGGGGCAGAGATGGCGTGTCCTAGGGACACGGTGGGCCCACAGAGGGGGTCTTCCTGGGGGGGGGGGGGGCGCATGCCGTCGTGAGCCAAGCTGTCGCAAAGCTCTGCTTCGTGTGTTTTCCTAAGGTCACGAGGGGTCTGGGTTTGGGGCGGGGTGGAGGGCGCTCTGGATTTGTCTTCCATTTCTGCAGCTGTGAGAATGGCTTGGCCTCTGCCAAAGCCTTTTGTTCCATTTTTCTCTTGCTTCATTGGGACATTTCCGGAACCAAATATATTCAACTAGTCCTCAGCTTCAGGAGGTAATTGAATATCCAAATGCTGATCCTTCCATTGTCCAATGACCAGAACCAGCTGAAACACCCAATTTTGCAAAGCATTAAGCTCCAGTCTTTTCCCTCATTATCTCTTCCAATTATCACGTCTTCACATCTTTTTCTTATTGAGGTGTGTGAGGCCCACATGAATTCTGAGAATTCTTATATTAAATTCCATTCTTCGGGCATACAAATCTCTTCCTCTTAGGGTGTTTTGTCCCACTGTACTTTGACATGGATTCCAAAGTCTGCATCCTACCGAAGACAGACTATTGTAATTATTATTTTGAAACGGACACATTTCTCAGCTCTTGGATCTGGGCCTGAAGATAAACACGGGTACTCGGGGGCCTTGAAACCCACACTCTCAGCGTGCTGATCCTTGCAGGCCTGTTAGATCAGTGCCAGACTAAACATAAAGCTGGCGCTCCCTCCCCAGGCCAACACTTTGGGGCTTTTGTCAACTGGGCAGGAGTGCAAATCCTTGAAGATTCTCTCCATGGAAAGCTTATTTCTTTATGTCCTTTGGCTCGGACCTTGGCTGGGGCTGGCCACGTGACCTTGAGCTGCCCTGGGATGCCTTGACATTTCCTCATTTGGGCCTCTGGGGTCTTTGCCCTAACTAAGATGCATATCTCAGGGGGCGGGAAGGAGGGGTGACCGTGCTCTTGTTTCTTGGCCTCTGGAATTGAGAAGCAGCTTTGGGGTAAGGAAGAGTCCCAAGCTCCAGGCTGTGCCCAGTTCCTGACCAGACAGGTGCAAGGGAAATCAGAGAGATAGGTTGTGGAGGGGTGATGGCAAACAAGCGGGGAGTGTGAGTTTATTGCCTTGTGCTAAAGGTGCATCTGATGTTACTTGGAGTCACTGAGCACCTGGGAAGCTGCACCCCTTTACCTAGTCTGGTACCTCCAGATAGGCAAACGCATTAGCTCCGCAGACACATTGGTGATTGGAAACCGGACTGTGTCCGATATGGTGATATTCCTGCCTCACTGAGTATCATTTACAACCCTCCTGAGCTGCCCCTGGCAGATCCTGGCGGTGCAGGTCAGTGCCCTGGGTGGTGGCCCTCCACGGTCCTTCTGATAGAGACTACCTCTCTAGTCCTCCCTGATGCTCCTCCTGCTGACTTCCCTTAAGGTTCTTATATCCCCATCTCACTCTCCTGACCAGAGAAGACGTGGGGAGAACCTTCCTATTCAAGGAGTCTCCTCTCTTGAGTTCTTAATCTCCTCTCTTGTCCCCCCTGGGTGACAACTGCTTCCCGGTGGCCTGTCTCTGGGGACTGTTTTCCATTGCCTTTCGAATATAGAATGTGTTCCTGAAATAAGGGAATCCCAACACACATTGTGACTGGGATGATGTGGAAGGCAGGTGCAAGGAGAAAGGAAAGGAGCTGGGATGGGTGGGGGAAGGCCAAGTCACCCATCTTGTCTCAGAAGAACCTCAGCTAGGTTCCATGCCATCCTGAGGTTGTCATGGAAACCACAGGGCTATAGAGTCAGACCACCTTCCTTTGACAGGTCGGGGGCGGGGGGGTGGCGGTCCCAGTCAGGCTGATGGGGGAAATGTGCATGACGTTTTGTGATGTCACCATTCACCTAGACAATCAGCCAAGAGCAAAGGCCCAGAGGCCTCACCTTACGCTCCAAGCATAGGAACCATGCTCATTCACCTTTGCATGTCAATGTCAAGCACAGTTTCAGGCTCAAAGTAAAGACCCAAGAAGTGCTTGATGGTCTGAAGGAGCTCGAGCTGCCCAGGACCCAGATGTGAGAGGCAGAACCAGAGAAACAGGACAATTAGGCACTGGGTCCAGGGTCGTGCCTGTCTTTAGACATTGGGTCAAGAGGGCCCCTAGAAAAATGAGAATCATTAGAATCCCATTCATATATTTTTTCTTTGTCAATTTTGAAATAGGGAGTGCTCATATTTACTAGGTGAAACACCGTGAAGATGTAGAAAGAAACAGCTCTACCTCCCTTCGTAACCCTTCCTCCTCTCTCATCTTGGTAAGCAGTTTTCTTTGCTCTTGGAATTCTAAGATTTCACCAAGTTACATCTAGGTGTGTGTCTTTACAAAAAAAAAAATAATAATAATAATAACCCTGTCTGGGACTTGGCCCTTTCCATCTACAGTCTTAAATCTTGTATCAGACCATGGAGATTTTCTTCTGTTATTTGCTTAAATATTACTTCTCCTCCATCTGTTCTTCTCTTTCCCCCTCCATCTCTCCTTCTGACACTCCTATTATCTGAACGTCCTATCTCCTGTTTTGTCCCTCTAAATCCCTTGCTATTTCCTCCTGTTTTCCAAATCTTTGTGTTTTCATATTATGAGCTCCTTCTTCCACTCGGTCCCGTGGACCTTGAGCTCACTGATAAGCAGTGATTGTCCTCCTTTCAGTTATTTCCCACGTTTTAAAAATAAAACATAGGGGCTCCTGGGTGGCTTAGTCAGTTGTGTGTCTGACTTTGGCTCGGGTCATGATCTCGCAGTTCGTGAGTTCGAGCTCCGTGTTGGGCTCTGTGCTGACAGCTCAGAGCCTGGAGCCTGCTTCAGATTCTCTGTCTCCCTCTCTCTCTCTCTCTGCCCTTCCTCTGCTTTCTCTCTCTCTCTCTCTCTCTCTCAAAAACAAATAAACTTAAATTTTTTTTAATAAAAATAATTTTCTTTTAGTTCCAGGAAGTCCTTTTCTTAGACTCTGTGTCCTCTTGAGAATTCTCACTACCTATTCATTCAAACCCCTTTGGTCTGTCCTGCTCCAACAGGCACCTCTTGGGCTGAAGGCTGCATCTTTCTCCCCCTTATCCCAGATCCATAAGTGTTCCTGATTTTGTAGTCTACCAGCAGGCAGATCAAGGTGAACACATTCGTCAAGCAGTGGCAAAACCAGCAGGCAATGGAAGGTTCAGCAGTTTCTGCTATCAGGAGTCAGCAGTAAACCAACTGGTCAACCACTTCTCTGTAGATCTGAGCAGGGTGTCCTCTCTTTGAGCTCCTGGGATCAAGTTCCCATCTTATTTTTTTTTTTTTAATTTTTTTTTAACGTTTATTTATTTTTGAGACAGGGAGAGACAGAGCATGAATGGGGGAGGGTCAGAGAGAGAGGAAGACACAGAATCCGAAACGGGCTCCAGGCTCTGAGCTGTCAGCACAGAGCCCGACGCGGGGCTCGAACTCACGGACCGTGAGATCATGACCTGAGCCGAAGTCGGACGCTCAACCGACTGAGCCACCCAGGCGCCCTTCAAGTTCCCATCTTAAAGAAGATGGAGGGTTGGGAATTATGAGCACAGGTGGGAGAATTAGCTTCAAAGAGGAGGGAAATATTCCTTCTTCTGACCTACAAGACTGGCAGAGAAAGAATATGAGTATAGACCCTATACCTTTGTCATTTTGTGGGCACTAAGTTATGGGAGTTCATGGTCAATGATGGAGATGGGCTTGGGTAGCCATTTGAATGCTTCCTCTAATTCAAAAAGAAATAGCCACTGAGCTATTGCCTTCAACCTCCCAAGGCTTCTATTTGTCATGGTCAAGTCAGGCAGTTTGTGGCTTGAGTATCCCTTCCATGTCTTACACTGTTAGGCGCTCTGAGGAGTGAAAGAGAGTCAGAAGGTAGAGTTCCCGCCCCAACATGCTTCCCTGTCCTTCAAGGACCTATTTGGTTG